AGGCTCTCCTTCCATTGGGTGTGTTTTTCTGCCCTGTCTTTTAATTCACCTCCGCTTCTTCTAGTCTACTGTTGAAACATTCCATTGTGTTTTTTATTGTAGCTATATCATTCTTTATTTCCACTTGATTCTTGCATAAATTGTTGATTTTTCTCATCCAGCTAGTTTAGAAACTTGTCATACAGTAGTTTTTAGTTAATTTACTTTTCATTCCAAGAAAAGCTCATGGAGTTTTATTTCGTAATATTTCATGCTTACTACCTTATCTTGCATTTATCCTAGGAGATAATTTGATTGGGCTTAAAATTTTCAAGTCATGCATTTTTCCTCTCAGAACTTTTTAGACACTGCTTCACTGTTTGGTTTGGAGGGTGGTGTGGGGAAGTCTGGGGTCTATCTGATTTCCTCCTTTGTAAGTGACTTTTTGCTGGTATATTTATATCATTACAATTTTAAAGGTCTTTTTTATCTTTTTGATATAATGTTTGATACATTCAAAAGATTAAGTATAAAATATGTAAATTATAAATAAAAATAATAGAGAATACACCCAAACATATGTGGAAAACTGACATAGAATAGTGGTGCAATTGCAGATCGGAGATGGTGAGACAAAGGACATTGAAGGCTGAGGGGAGGAGGGGGTTGGGAATGATTGCTAATGGCTATAGGGTTTCTTTTTGAGGGAGAATAAAATTAGAAGATGGTGATGATAACACAACTCTATAAATATACTGAAAGCTGTTGAACTATATATATGCTTTATTATATGTAAATTATATCTAAATAATGATATTAAAATGAGTGCTCTGTAATAACACAAAACAATGGGGTTGAATACTTAAAAATCATAAGTTGAATGAAAAAAAAAGAGTTATACCCCCTTATTCTTTGGGGGATATATTCCAAGGTCCAGTAGAATCTGAAACCATGAAAAATACTGACGCCTATGTATAGGGTGGGGCAACAGTAAAATTAAGGTTGTTCATATGAAAAATAATATGATAATTAATAAATAATAATACAAGAATAAACTTTCACATACTCACAACTGTAAACCTACTTTTGCCTCACCCTGTATACTATGTTTTTTTCTATAATAAAGTTTAATTTATAAATTAGGCACAGTAGGAACATAACAACACATAATAAAATAGGACAATTATAACAAAATACAATAATAAAGTTAGTGAATGTGCTCTCTCCCTCTCTCTAACACACACACACACACACACACACACACACACACAAGAAAAAAAGTCTGGAAATGAATTAAGCACCCATAAGTTTCTGCTAACCGATCTAGTAATGGAGATGGTCATTCAACGACTAATGGCATACAGAGTGCATATGCTGAACAAAGGGGTGATTCATGTCCTGACAGGACAGAGCAGGATAGGGCAAGATTTGATCACACTAGTCAGAACAGCTCACAATTTAAAATTTTATGTGTGTTGAATTCTGGAACTTTCCATTTACTGGTAATATTTCAGACTTCAGTTAGCTTTGGGTAACAAACCTTGGAAAGAGAAACCCTGGATAAAGAGGGACTGCTGGATATAGTATGATATCTCTTTTACATAATTAAAAAAGCAAATAGAAATAATATATTATTTATGGATATATTCATACATTATAAAAGTATTTGGAATATTGAAAAGGAAGGGTAAACATACAGGAGAGCTCCTCCCTCAGGGAAGAGAAGGAAATGGGACAGGGGAAGAAGTTATAGGTAGATGCAGTAGTATCAGTGATTCTTGAGCAGTCTGCTCTCCATAAAATGATTACTTTGGGATGTCTTTTCGCTAGCTGCCTTAAAAACTTTTGTCTTTGGTGCTCTGCAGATCACTACTACGTAGGTGATATCTAGGCGCTGATTTTTGTGTGTATGCACGCTTTCTGAAATTGTGGTTTAATAGCTTTCAGCACTTCTGGAAATTTCTCAGCTGTTATCACTCCTTGATTAGCTTGATTCTCTCCTTCTATGGCTCTCATTTGACATTATTAGATCTTCTCATTTTATCCTCAATGTTTTGCATTATTCTTATATTTTCCAGGTGTTTTATTTCTGGATTATATTTTAGTTAATTTATCCATTTTTATCTTCATTAAATCTATTTTCACATGTGGCAAATGTGCTTCTTAATATGTTTTGTCCTTTTCTTTCAACATTTACATATTTTACGTATACACTGAGTGGTCAGATTATTATGACCACCTGACATTTTTAGGCAAATTAGCTATAATTTCGCGCGGAAGTTGCTAGAGGGCCAGACCATTATAAATAGGGAAGCAAGTTGTTTATCATGACAGTAGAAGTGATTTTTTTCTGAAGATATGGGTAAACAACGCGATTTAATAGCCTTTGAACATGGGATATATATATAGTGGCCAGATTATTATGACCACCCCATCAGTACTTCGCTGGGCCACCTTTTGCCTTCAATACTGCAGCAATTCTTCTTGGCATTGACTCCATGAGATGTTGAAAGGTGATGCGAGGAATCTGACACCATGCCTGATGAATAGTACTGTCCAGTTCTGTGAGATTTGATGGTTGTGGAACCAGCTGCCTGATGGCTCTTTTAACTTCGTCCCACAAATGCTCAATTGGATTAAGATCTGGTGATTGTGGGGGCCACCTAAGCAAGGTAAAATCTCCCTCATGTTCTTGAAACCACTTCTGCACAATACGAGCACCATGGCATGGTGCATTGTCTTGTTGGAAGAAGCCATCTCCATTGGGATACGCCATCAACATGATAGGATGAACTTGTTCAGCAATGATACTTAGGTATGTTGTGCTATTCAGACGTTGTTCCACACGAATTAAAGGGCCCAAATCATGCCAGGAAAACATGCCCCAAACCATAACACTGCCCCTACCAGCTTGAAGGGTTGTACTCATGCATGTGGGGTGCATGCTTTCATGCTGTTTCCGTCAAATTCTCACTCTGCCATCTGCATGATGCAACTGGAAACGTGATTCATCGAACAACATGACTTTTTTCCAATGCTCAACTGTCCAATCCTTGTGTTCCTGTGTGAATTGGAGAAGTTATATCTTGGTAACTGCAGACAGCAAAGGTGTTCGAACAGGCGTTGGGCTTCCATATCCCATACGATGCAGTGTATGGCTAATTTGCCCACAAACATCAGGGGTCATAATAATCTGGCCACTCAGTGTAGATATTCCACTTAGTTATTTTTCAGAATTGCCTGATTATCCCTGGTAGTTTTCTGTTGCTTGCTCATTCTTTTGATTCCATACTTTGTTTCTTTAAGTACTTCATAAGCAGCTATTGTATTTCCGACAGTTCTAATATAGATGGCTTACCTCCTCATGTGCTTGATGTCTTTAATTTTGAACTAATACTTGCCTAAGGATAAATTGTGGGACTCTGATGGGATATATCGTAGGATGCTTTCTTTCAGAGATTTGATTTGTTCTGAGAGGAGCTGGGAAGACTACCAATCTAACTTAATACAGCATCTCAGGTTCAATTCCCCTTCCTTGCTGTTAACCCTAGCTTCAGTTTTTTACTGGCATTGTCTCTTAGTATAACACTAGAGGCCCAATGCACAAAATTCGTGTACTCGGGGGGCGGGGAGGTCCCTCAGCCTGGCCTGTGCCCTCTCGCAGTCCGGGAACCCTCAGCGAGGGGGCCTAAGCCATCAGTCGGACATCCTTAGCGCTGCCGCGGAGGTGGGAGAGGCTCCCGCCACCGCTGCTGCACTTGCCAGCCATGAACCCGGCTTCTGGCTGAACAGCACTCCCCCTGTGAGAGCACACTGACCACCAGGGGGCAGCTCCTGTGTTGAGTGGGATTGGGCTGAAACCGGCTCTTCAACATCCCCCAAGGGGTCCCGGATTGCGAGAGGGACTAGAAGGTGACTAGAAACCATGTTTTATATCCAATTCAGTAGTCTTTTCAATAAATCTATTTTTAGGCCTGATTTTAAGACATATTATATTAAATTGAACCTGTAATTGTTTGTATTATAACAAGGTCTGTAGTTTTATTTTATGTCTATTCATACCCAAGTGTGTGTGTGTGTGTGTGTGTATTCCATATATAATTACATATATACAGAAATAAATCCAAGCCTATATAAAACTATTATAAATACAATTGAATATATAGACAGGCATGACTATAAGGAAGATAGCTTGTGATCACTGAAGGGAACTACAGAATCCTAAGTTTGTCTTTATCTAATAAGTATGGCTTTTAAAATCAAAATAATTGTACACATAGGACATTTGTTTTTATTTGTTTTTACTTGCACAAAAGCAAGTAATTTCTGGTAAAAAAAATTTATAATGACCTGGATTAGCTATGTTAAATGATATCTCAAGTAGTCTTTTAAATAATCTCTTCACTGAGTAAACTCATAGGTTAAAATGATAAATTACAAGAATACGCCAATGAAGAGAAAATGTGGGATTCCTTGTGGGCAGTGCTCTTCAATAGTCTTCAGGAAATCTGTCAACACAAACAGTCACTAGCTAGTGCAAAATTAATACCATCATTCAGGGAGAGCAAGGGGGGGAACTATACACAGTCAGTAGAGGAGTCATTTTGTGTTAGGGGAGCCTGCTCTCAGAGAACCTGGGGAACCTGCTGACACACCAGCATTCCAGGGAAGTTATGAATAGCTGCTAGAAGCAACTTTAGCATTTCGTACATCCAGTCTGATATTCTACTGCATTAGTTTTGTTCAGGAGAAGTATTTTTAAAGTTAAAATAATTGGGTTAATGTCCTAAACTTCATTTTTAGATATTTTGAATGTCAGGATGGAGAGAGATGTTTCTTAACGTTCTTTTTAGATGTCATGGCCATATAAACCATTATATACCCCTTTCTAAAAGTTTTCATAGATTTGTTTTCCTTAGGGGCATTTTAGTGTCTTTAATTTTTATTTCCATGTTAGCACTCCAAGGGAAGATGATGTACTTACAAGTTTTTTTTTCTCCTTGGCTTTCTCTCCCATTCAGGTTTTGATACTCTACCTCCATTCCCCAACCTCCAACCCCCCAAAACCTGTGGCATATAGCTCTATTTGTCAGATAGTTTATTTGAGGGGATTGCAAACTCTTTAAAAATCTGTTCTGCTACAATTGTTCACAGCATGGTCCACAGCTGCGACTACTCTTGAAAAACACCAACAGATGAAGATATTTATGAATTTTATGGGTGAGGATTAAGGTGTGGAGCTTGGAGTGGCAGAGCCTTATCACCTCTAAAATAGTATGAGACACTCAGTCCATTTAGAGGGAAGGGAACATGGAAGGAGGAAGGTGGTTTCAACAAGCCCAGTCTGTAACTAGCATTCTCAGAGTCAACTTGTAACTTTCAGTTCATGATTCATTGGATTGCTCAGGACCTTCGTTTCTTTTCAACTTCTATCTTTTCTATAATAACATGGAATGTTATAGTACCTGAATTTCAATTATTTATATTACACATACTTTCAAATCTGCTATAAAGTTTAAGAATGAAATCACTGGTATCTTTCATTGCCCTGAAATTTCCCACAAAGCCATCCCCTCTGGGGCTGGTCTCTGTGTCTGGGTGTGAATGGTCCCCATCACATTACCTGCCCCTAGAGGGCTGTAAAATGAGATACTATCAACTTAAACATCCTTTGCACTCTAAGTTGTCTTATATTATTATTTTTATTTTTCAGTGGGAATAATAGTTTCACTTGACAAGGAAATCAGCCAATTCTGAGTGACTTAGTGGGAGAAGTTGGTGTCTAATAGTACAATAGATTGTTTCTAATTGTGTGAAGAGATGTCCTAATTAAGTCTCCTGATTCCGAGTCAGAAGTTAGGGCAGTGAAAGAGGCTCGTGACACCCGGAGCCCAGCGAGGAGCAGCAGGGGACAGCTGGCATGGTCTCAGGAGAGCCAGTTTACTCATTATTTCAGTGTTTGTGAGAGTGAACACCTTCCAAGTGAAAATTAATTTCCCTTTTGGATTACTTATGGCATTATTTTTAATGCTGAAGTTTTCCACATCATCCTTGGCCACAATTATTTTTCCCAGAATGACTGAGATGGAAAAAAAGTACATGGTTATTTCTAACAGCACATAAAATGAGATTTTGAGAGAGTTTATTCTCTGTGATTTCCTTGTAGACATTCTTAATAATGATCTTTCTTTAAAGGTAAACTAAATACATAACAGTGTTTAGTGATATGTATTAAAATGAAAGTTAAGTGTTTTATTGGGAGAAGGGGCTGAAGCTGTCCTCAAAACATCCATGGAATAAAAAATTCTGTCTAAAAAATTATATTTCTGTCTAAAAAATGCCAAACAAAACCCGAAGCTTGCTAATCAAGGATAAGATCATTCTGGACTTGCCTGAAGTCCTGCTCATCTATGTTACATCTGTCACCCAAAACTGGCCTGTTAGTGAAAGGCAGGGACAAAAGGCCTTTCTTAACCTATCCAGCTGCTCCCACTGCTGCCAGGGCATCTCTGGATTGTGCCTAGCATCCAGGAGGCAAGCCAGAGGAGCATGAAATCAGCCACAGTTTCCGCTTCCCCCTCTTCCCGCCCCCCGATCCCACCCAGGCCTGGCATTCCGAGGGGCTGGAGGAGCTTCTGAGGCCTGTCCAGGTCCCTCCGCCAGCTCTGCGCATGGGCAGCCCCTGGACAGAAGCACGTCCCAAGCTGCCAAACATTTGGTGTCACTTCCTCACCCTGAACTTTTAACTGACTTTCCAAGCAGGAAGCATTTTGGGGGAATTTTTCTATCACTTCCTTAGGAGGGCTTACTGGATGGGTTTTTCATGTCCTTACTAAGAGCTGTATTTATGGTAAGTTCCATAAGTTATGAAATAACTTTGGTAGATAAAATGCACTATAAACATGACAGTAAAGGGTGAAAAAAAATCTCATATTTCAACTTTAGTACTATGAATGTTGGGTATGAATGAGTTTTTCCTTAAAAAGGGTTCTGAAGAAAGAGATCCATCTTAAAAATAAGGCAGCCTGGCTTTGGCCAGGTGGCTCTGTTGGTAGGAGCATCGTCCTGTACATCAAAAACGTTGTGGGTTTGATTGCCCTTCAAGGCACATACCTAGGTTACAGGTTCGATCCCCAGTCGGAGTGCATATAGGAGGCAACCAATTGATGTTTCTCTCTCTCTCATTAATAAAAACATATCCTCAGGTGAGGACTTTAAAAAAAAAAAAGGCCAACTGAAGCCAGAGTACATCGAGGGAAGTTGTGGGGATCTAAGAAGTGGCAGTGGAATCCTTGTTTAGGTACAGTGGTATCACATTTTTTTTACTTCTCTGTGTATGTTTTAGGTTAGATGAGAAAGTGCAACTTAGGCAAGTAAATAGATTTTTATTCTCTGCAAGTAAGGTCCTTCCCCCCTTTTAAATTGAGAACCAGCAGGCAAAGATCATTGTCATTGGAAACATCCTCAACTACTTCAGATAGACAAGCCTGGAAGGCTCTATATTGAAGTTGAGATCTACTTAAGCTCAGGGAAATAGTGAGTTTGGGTTACAGTGACTGAGAATAATTAAATGTTAGTGAGGCATTTAACTGTACCTAGCTATATGTATTTCTTTAGCCCTAGCTCTACATGTGACTTTCTTTAGTGTTTAGAATATAGAGTGTAGGTTTATTTTATTATGTGAATTTTAATTAAACAGAATGTTCTTAGTGGCAATTTATTAGGGGCATGAGGAAAGCTTTTGTTTTTTCCTGATGCAAGAAAATGATTAGACTGATGTCATCCCTTCCATTTCTTCTTCCCACCTTGAACATGGAATTGCAGAGTGTAATACTGTTGACTTTCACTCTTTGCACCTAACGTTTCATTCACAAAGGTACAAAACAAAAGCCCCATGTAGTGGCTGCTATGGCTAGTACCAGGGAAAGTGCTGTTCTCTCAGGGAGAAAAAACACACAAAACTTCTACCTCCCAGAAGCGGGCATAGTCCGGAGAGGTAAAAGGTCTGTGCATAGCAGAGGAGCACCAACTTTTTTACCTGGTGGGAGATATATAATTGGGAGAGGATCTGGTGTCTGGAGGGTGTGTATACTGAGAACACACTGAAACAGGGAAGAAGGGGGAGGAAAGGGTACTAACCCTCTGCTGACAGTGGTGACAGCAAATCTTACACTGTCATCAAAGATCTTTTAGATGAGTGTGGCTGGTCAGTCATTTACGACTGACAACTGGGTACATAGGAAGCAGGCCCAGGTTGAAGGATACAGCATCTGCTGTCCTCCAGCACAACCAGAGCGGCAGGCCCAGGCGTCTCCCACCTGGAGGGTGTGATAGATTGCACTGGGATATGAGGCTTTTAGCACAATCCACATGCAAAGAGAAACGGTGCCTGCAGTGTATCTCCAGGAACACTAGAAAAGCCTGAATGGAAATAACCGGCACCCAGGAGACAATTGCTTTGCTTAAGGAGGGTTTGATTCCTACAGTCACTCTCTGATAGGTGTACAAAGCCAAGTGTAGAATGTTACAGTCACTTTAAAATACCGGGGTGGTGCACCTAAGATAAGTAGAGATAGTTTCAGCAGATAGTCTTTCAGTTAGGGGGGGGAAAGAGAAAGGAACTATCGATCCTCAGTACTCATTTAACACAATGTTTTAATCAAGAGTAGGACCATAAAAAAGCTTAAGAACTTCCTTTCAAGTTTAGTTCTGGAGACTATTTTTGCTAAAAAGCTTGTCTCATGAAAGATTTTATTACTTCTTGATGTTTTATAGTGTTTCCAAGTTGTTATTCAGACAAAGAAATATGGAATTGTGTTAACCAATAAAACAGGGATTTTTTTCTTTTACTTTTTTATAGACTAAATGAATATTTTAAGAGATTGGCTACTATTGTCTCCCCTTTTGCTAAAAATATTGTATATCTTTGCACCTAGGGGGAAGGGAGTACCCATAAAAATGAGGAACTTTAGAGGTTGCAATAATTAATGTGGTGACCACAGTGGTTACAAATTTGATTGGCTAATTTTGTATAAAATCATAATCTATTAGAAAAATTAAAAAGTTGAATTCATGCAGTAAACTGGTTACCAAATGAATGGATCAGTTAAAGAATAGTTTAGAACCTGCTTTGATTGCATGAAAAAAATCAGCATGATGGTCAGTTAATTATTTGTTTTCCCTCGAAAGTAAAATGATCCTTCAAAAATGTAGACCACTATTAAAAGGGTTAATATTTCTAAATCCTTCAGTAAGGTTAGGTTACACAAAAACAACATGTCATAACCCCATTAAAACATCAGGCATTCAATCTGTATGGTATATATTTAAATCTATACAAATCCATGATTTAAAAAGAGCCATGTAATTGAATTAGCATTAATCAATGTTGATTTATTAGAAGGCAGAAGAAAGTCCCCTCTATTGTACATTAAGGAAAACCAAAATAATAATAATAATAATAATAATAGTAATAATAATAATAAAGCTCAAGTCACAATGGATAGATTCATAGTCACTTATATCCCCCAAATTTAATCTAAAGACATAATCACCACTGTCTAAAAGGTTATAATAAATACAAAATATTTCTATTGTATTAGTACTGATACAGCGTAACCAAACAAAAGGTACATTTCTACTTTTAAAAAATTTAAGAAGCTAACTTATTTAGGATACAAGATAAGTTTGGGGTCATTTAAGTAATTTAAGGTTGTCTAACGGCTTCCAACACAGACTCAAGGGCAAATTCTAATGTAGATGGGACAAGAACCTTATACATTTCCTTGAATCAATGGTAAGTCAATTATTTGTCCTTTCAACACACTTGTACTGAGCCCACACTATGTGATATCATGTTAAGCATGGAAATTTAGGGATCCATTCACAGAGTTCTGAAGTAGACAAGTAAATAGTTACAATACTGTGGGTCCAGAGCCTTGAAAGAGGGGCACACCAGATGCTGGAGGAACATGGAAGGACAACCAGTCCAGCTTAGGAGGAATAAGGAAAGGCTTCCCAGAGGAGGTGGCACCTGAATGAAACCTTGTAAAAGAATTTAGCCACAGATTGGGTCACTTGAGGTGGCTGGAATGAACCCAGCTTCTGTAGTGTACATAATACTTAAAAAAAAAAGTCTCTTCCATCAGTGTGTTTTGCAAGGATAGGTTTATTGTTTAGCCGATTTTGTGAGCTCCATTCTGCCTTTTTTAATGTTTTATGCAACTTGACTACTAATGATGAATAAGAACAGTCTGAACGCATTGTTGCTGCATAAGTGTATGTGGTGTGGTTTTGCACTTAAAGAGGCATTCAGATGCTCTAGTTGCAAATGCTCATGCAAAGCCTCTGACTGCTTTTAGTGGGTCTCAGCCGTGGTTTCCCATCTGCAGAGCACTGAGGGCTGGTTGGACACTGGAGAGGATTGAAACGCTTCATATTGTGATCCTAAGTTTTATATTCACG